GGACATGTCTTTGGACAATCAGTGTCAAAGCCATGTTATATCTTTTATTTCAGATACTATCTGCAGTTTGTACATTGTGAAAGGTGCAGCTTTATTTTAAGTGTTCATATGCCTCAAAATAGCTTTGCTGTTTATGCAAAAGTAACATAGCTGGGGAATACTTTTTACACCTGTTGATCGACATCTGAAGAGTCCAGATAACAAACATCTATACTTAGCATCTTACTCTCCATCCAAAAATAAATACTTATGGCTCTACAGGGCTCTTAGCTTTAAAAAAAAGTATTTGTGCATAGTTGGTAGCATTAACCAGTATCATGATTACTGGCTACAACATTCTTAAGCTAGTGGATAAAGGTTCTCACTTTTGAGTGAGACGTAAGGGAAATATGTCAGGAACCATTGACACCATAGAGAAAAAAGAATGTAGCCTTTGGATTGCTCTGGAGAGTGCCACTTAAATTTTAAATATATCTATATTTAGTTCCCTCAGACTGGAGTTCGGCAGAGACTGCAGGATAGAACTCCATTTTTTTCCCCTCCCTGCTATCTTCTAATTTAGGGTCTTTAATTCAGTCTGGAGTGGAAACCCTTCTTTCAAACCTTTCCCATACCTGTTTCCTCTAGTTTACATTGCTGTTAACTATGTCTTTGACATTGAGTGGTGATACTCACAATTAGATAAGATCACCTCCCAGATTTGTTTATGTCACTTGCAGACTCAGACCTTCTCTCAAAATAGCATCATGTCATGATGCAATGCCACCGAACTCCCCCAAAATGGTTTGGCATGAACTCATGTGCTTCAGCTTTCTTTCAACTTGACAACCTTCATATGTACTTGTTAGTTTTTCCAATTTGACACTCAAATATGTCTGGGCAGATAAGGAGAAGTGAGTTGCTGACCTGCTTTGAAATGCACCCTCACGTTCCCACTTTTCTCTCTCCTCGCAAAGATGGAGGATTTTTGGCTGTAATGAAAATTTTTTGCTTTCTTTTCTCAGAGTACAAACCTGCAGATTTAGAAAGCTAATCTTTCCCCAGATTACACAGAAAAATAGAATCAATCATAGAAGTGTAGAGCGGAGGAGATGTCAAAAGATCATCTAATCCGTCCCCCAATACCGAGGCAGGGTTTACTATACCTAGGCCATTTCTGACAGGTGTTTGTCTAACTTTCCACAACCAAATCTCTGTACAACTTTTCATGAGTGATGTACCCGAGTATTTGGTTTCTAATATCTAAACTATATTGTTAAATCTATTCACCTAAATTTGGGTTATTGCTGATTATGTGCTCTATGTATCATATGACTTTTAAAAACAAACTCTGTATTTGTGGATAATCGAAGCACTATATCCAGATGTACAGACATTCTTTTTCTGAACTTATGTATTATATACTTTTTTTAACATTAGCTTTAATAAAATTTTTATACTTAAACCATTTCTGACAGGTGTTTGTCTAACATGTTATTAAAAACCTCCAATTCCAGGGATTTCACAACTTCATTAGGTAACCTCTTCCAGGCCTTAACTATCATTAAAAAGATTTTCCTAATATTCAGGCACCCCAAATAAAATCCTAGGGACTTTAATCTCCACCAATGCCTCAACAAATTGTAAATGTACTCCGCTATACGGCTGCATATGCCATGCTTCTGATATTTCCTAGTTACTGGACGTGCATGTTGTGGCACCCTGGTACCCCAATATTCACCACTGTCATGTAATTAGGATATATTTTGTGCAAAGTATGCCTTGTGAGGTGGTATTCTAAAAGTCTTCATCTGCTAGACATTAATATCTCATTGGATTGTATGTGCTATCGCCAAATGTGAATTTATGAAGTTTGGGTATGTATTTGTTACTGAAATATGTTATGAGGTTGAAAACACCTACAAGCAGCCTTTCAGGTACAACAGGAAAGAGGCCAAACAGTGTTAATGGCTTATTGAGGAAATGCACACAAACACAAGGATTACCCCAGGAACTGTGTACAGTAGAAACCTCTCAGAGATAGCACTACACAATGGGAACTGTTTGACCCAGGTCACAGCAAAAGAGCTTTTCGGCAAGTGGGAAGAAGATATAAAAGGGGGAAAATGACATCATGTGGGTACCCCACTCCCCTACATTAACACACCTGGAAACACCTGAGGAATAAAGACTGAACAGGGGGGAAGTGACGGGCCCAGGTAAACAGAATTTCTAGCCTGTGTATGAAAACCTGGGAAACCCAAGCTGCAAAGCCAAGGCAGGTTGTGACTTAAGAATCTGTCAGCCTGTATAGCAAATTCTCACCCTGAGTGATAATTCTTATCCTACCTATCTAGTAATATTAAGCTCAGTTTGTGATATTGTTTATTTACTACAGGGATCGGCAACCTTTGGCACACTGCCCATCAGAGAAATCCACTGGTGGGCTGGGATGGTTTGTTTACCTGCAGCGACTGCAGGTTCGGCTGATCACAGCTCCCACTGGCTGCGGTTCACCAGTCCAGGCCAATGCGGGCTGCGGGAAGTGGCGTGGGCTGAGGGGTATGCTGACTGCTGCTTCCTGCAGCCCCCATTGGCCTGGAACAGTGAACTGCGGCCAGCTGCAGCTGCGATCGGCTGAACCTGTGGACGCTGCAGGTAAACAAACTGTCCCAGCCTGCCAGCGGATTTCCCTGACTGGCCACGTGCCAAAAGTTGCCAATCCCTGATTTACTAGGTAATCTGCTTTGATCTGTTTGCTGTCACTTATTATCACTTAAAATCTATCGTTTTGTAGTTAATAAATTTATTTTGTGTTTTAATCCAAACCAGTGTGTGTTTGACTAAGGTGTCCAGGGAAAATCTCAGCTTGGTTACCACAAGTGTGCATGGTCCTTTTCACTTTGAGGGAGAGGTGGAGCGGGTGTTAAACCCATGTACTGGCCAGATTTGACCAGGGCAGGACGGTACTGCTCTGGGGTCCTAAACTGAGAGGATGGTGGTTAGAGAGTCTGAATGTGACTGCAGAGAGGTATGTCCCTACCTGTATGAATGCTGGTGAAAGTGGAAGCTTGGAGGGCTTTGCAACTTGTCACAGCAGCACAGTGTGAGAGGGAGCCCCGGGTGGTGGGTTACAGAGCTCAGTGATAACAGGTGGCACTCTGGGGGGAACCCGTTACACACACTTTCTTTCATTTCATACCAGAAAGGCAAAATACAAAATCTTGATTATATAGATTTATTTCTACTTTCAATTTTTATTAATAAAGAAATGAACATTACAAACAATGATTTTAAAACATAGATTACATTAAAGCTTCTCAGAATGTTATGTATTCCTTGCGTTCTCGCTTTCAAAAGAAAATTTAAATTTACTTTACAGAATTTCATTAATGGAAATAAGTAATAATACATATAGTCTTCCTGGTGCTTTGGAAGCACTATTTTTGGTGTTTTAAAATTAATTAAGGATGCATCTTTATTTAAAAAGGCATATTGTGCATAGTTTGTATATACGGACTCTTGTTATATTTAATATGTGGTGATATGGACAAATTTTATAAACATATTTAAATTTTGAAATACACCTTTACCCCGATATAACGCGACCCGATATAACACAAATTCGGATATAACGCGGTAAAGCAGCACTCTGGGAGGGCGGGGCTGCACGCTCCAGTGGGTCAAAGCAAGTTCGATATAATGCGGTTTCACCTATAATGCGGTAAGATTTTTTGGCTCCCAAGGACAGCGTTGAATCGGGGTAGAAGTGCAGTACATTAAGGAACCTTGAGAATTGTTGAAATACACAGGCATTAGGTTTCAGATTTCAAGATGCAACTTTATTGGGGTTTTAGTATGTGTTTAAAACATGCACACTATATTATTTTGATTCAGTGTTCTGCATGTTTTGAGATCTTATGGTAGAATGGGAAAAATATTTAGGGGTTTTCTGTACTCAGTTTTTCATGTCTCTGCTATGTTTGTATGCTTGATATGAAAGTTTTTAATTTCTTATGGCATAAGTTGTATTTAAATACAGTCATAAGCAATTTACTATGGTTTTGATACTTACTGTAAACACTGAGGCTCAGTTTTTCATATAGGTGTGCACCTAAGTGTGCATGGACTTGTACACATACCTATTGGAGGCACATAGTTCTTCAGATGCACATGTGCAGAGTTGTGTACCTACACATACCTATAAATGCACACAAGATACAGACTTGCCATGCACATTGGAAGATAGGTGTAACTAAATCTGGCATGAGCAAAAGTGCATACATATTTAGACATATGCCTGTTTGAAAATTTGGTCCTTAGTGAATTTCAGAAAATGCTCAGCTGTGAGCATTTTCTTTGGCATTCACCAAGTACTTAGTGTAGGATCTTTCCGTGGCATATTTTAATTCTCAGTAATTATAAATGCTGCCAAAGTTTAAAGTTACCAAATCTAATTTCATTATGACCATACCTGCTCATTTCTGCTATTTGTGTGTGTGTTTGCCTTTTCATGTCTCCATCAGAATTTCATGGTAAGTGAAGCAAGTCACACTCTCATTGTAGTTTGCACTCAGCCGTTCACTGAAATAATATGGGACATTCATTCTACTCCACTATAAGCAAGCTTCACTGTGCTTGCTGTTCTATTTATATAAAATTAATATCAGTGTTGTATTACATTTGTTGCACCAGTAGGTGTAAATAAATAGACTCTCAAATATCAAAGTAAGGAAAGCAAAGCTTGTTTTTGTGGCATAGGGTAATGATAAGTTGAATGATTTTATGGCTGACGCAGACATGGATAACTGCAGTTTGGTAGTATAGGTGTAAAATTCCTGATTTTTTAGTGGACTGACCTTTGAGGGATTGAGTTATAGAAGTTGCTGGTGCTCAAGCCATCTCGGAATCAGAATAATCGTTACTATATTTGTGCAAAAATTTAGTTTATGTTGAAACAAATTCTAAACAAAAATATATTGATTTCACAATTCTATGTACTGTATTTGCTATACAAGCACTCAACTGTTTAAAGTTATTTTTATTCAGTACAATATGTCATACAAAACTTTACTGCCTTATACTTCATTAAATTACACTGGCATATTCAAAGATAATTACTTTGCAAAATGTTACTGTTATATATGCTATTGCTGGCTAATGAGGCTTCTGCATCACTCCCACTCCAAAAGAAAATGTTTAAAAACTGCTACTTTGGATTAAGGCAGTAAGTTCAGTCAGTTGTATTGCTTCTCTAAGTTGTTAATGTCTTTTTGTGTGCATGCATGTGTGTCTGTTAGCATAGGACTAGCACTTAGGATAAATGGTAACTGCTTCATATCCGTCTGGTGGCCTCATGCGGGCTCGCGCATGAGTTTCACAGTATAATTGTCCCTCCACAAAGAAGTAGCCCTTTTGTTTGAGGTTGATATTGCAGTCAGAGCACACAAAGCATTCTGGGTGCCGGTACTTGTCACGTGCCTTCACCACTGTACCACTGTTTATGAAAATAAAGAAGAGAAAACTAAATTAGTAGAGGAGAATAAATTTAGAATAAAACAGAAATGCATGGCAACATGACATATAAAATAAATACTGTTTCTCTACTGTAGGGGGCTTGTTGGTAATGCCCGCGGAGTTCTTCCAAGTGCTAGGAAAATATTCTAAAGCTGGAAGTTGATTCTGAGCAGACCTTTTCCTGTGTAAATATAAAATGCCATCTGGAAGTCTCAGTACTCCACTGGAAGATCAGTACTTCAAAGACCACTGCCTCTTTCATCATCCGATGAAGTGAGCTGTAGCTCACGAAAGCTTATGCTCAAATAAATTTGTTAGTCTCTAAGGTGCCACAAGTACTCCTTTTCTTTTTGCGGATACAGACTAACACGGCTACTACTCTGAAACCTGCCCCTTTCAACTATCACATACAGTATAAGGTACCCCAGCAGCAAGGGAGTGAAAAAAGGTTTAGAAAACAATTCCTCTGACTTAGCCTCCAAGACATGAGTTCAGGATTCTCTGTATCCCTGTTTGAAATTATTGACACCATTGAATTGGGAGTTAGGTACCTTACTCCATTAGGCAGCTTTGAGAATCCCAGCCTGAAACAGTACAGGCTATGCAGCTGCTCTTTTCAGTATCTGTGTTAATGATTGAGTGTGGCAAGAGGTACCAAGAAGCTTGAACTCAGGCCTCTGCAAGTGAAAAATAAGTTATATTTGAAAAGTGAGCTGAATGTCCTGAAAATGCGTAAGACATTATGTTAATGATTTTGGATGGTTTATTTTTTTTAAGCTTTTCAATGCACCTGCAATTTTTTTGATTTCTCTAAAATTACAAACAGAAAATTCCGTAGAAAATCCGCCTGTATTTTGTAATCCCTTTTGAAGATTTATGCTATAGCTATAACTTTATGAAAATTAAGAAAAAACAACTTACACAATGCCATTCCCACATTTGTCACACAATGGCACTTTTTGTACACTTCCTGCACCTGAAGGCATATTTGTTACCGGTGCCCTCACACTCCTTGTACCAACGGGACGTCCATCTGAGAAACAGAATGTTCTCATTTATTTACAGTATAACACAGAAGCATCTGGCTACAACTAAATGCTTGCTTGAGGGTATCTACTTTATACTGATTTATAAGGAAGGCCCTGCTTGAATTGCAGGATGATTGTCAAAAAATTGCAGCTGAGTTCCAGACAAGCCATGAAAAACTGTGGAAAAGTAATAATGGACCTTATTATTTGTGGTAATAAAGTCCATTATTATTTTTCTGCGATTTTCCGTTGTCAGCCATCAGGCGCTGAAAGCGGCGGCCCCCTACTGTCAAAATTGTGATGGAAGCCTAATATTGCAGAATCTGCAATTTCTGAAATATCGCAAGTTAAGTAGGATCTTATTTATAAGCTTTTCCTTTCATTAAGTAAAGTTAGAGTTTCTCTATACAGGGACCTTTACAATAACCTTTTTTTAATTTTGAGGGGCCAAATCTTGCATCATTAAAGTTAGTGGGAATATTGCTATTAACTTCAGTGGGAGTAGGATTGGCCCTGATTGTTGTTCTGCATTAAAGTCAGCTAATGAAAAGATTACTTGCATTAAGGCTACGATTTAGTCACGGGTATTTTTAGTAAAAGTCATGGACAGGTCACGGGCAATAGTGACTTTTACTAAAAATACCCCTAACTAAATCTTACCTGGGGGGAGGGGCAGCCCAAGGCCCCGCTGCCGCCGCTCTGGGCAGGGAGTGACCTGGTGCCCCGCTGCCACTGCTCCGGGCAGGGGGCGTCCGTGGCCCTGCTGCTGCGACTCTGGACACAGGGTAGCCCGTGGCCCTGCTGCCGCGGTTCTAGGCCGGGGCGGCCTGGGGCACCGCTGCTGTTCCTGAGCCACTGCTCCAGGACAGCGCCCAGGACCAGTTGCCTGGGGACCCTGGGCCCAGACCAGCTGCTCGGGTGGCCCTGGGGTCAGCCGCACCAGCCGCTGCAGCTGGGGAAGTCATGGAGGTCCCGGAAAGTCACGGAATCCGTGATCTCCACCTCCACTCTGGGTGGTCCGGGGCCCTGCTGCCACTGCTTTGGGCTGGGGGGCGGCCCGGGGTCCATGAAAGACTCGCAGCCTTACTTGTTGTTTATAGAGTTAACCTTCAGATTCATTCTGAACGATTGATAACACAATATGAATAAAAAGTCATATCAAAATTTAAACAAAAATCTATTCTGACATTATACGTCTTTTCTTGTAAACTGTTAATTTTAGATTAATTTTGTTTAAATTCTGCTTTTTATATTTAGTACAGGTATAATAAAACTGTCAGAATTTCATAATGCTCTGTTCCTATCTGCTTTATTGTTAAAAATTCATCATAGTATTTTTGATAGAGTATAATTATGGGAGAATGCAAGTGCAAACGGTATTCTCTTCAACCAATTTTCTAGCATCATTTTGTTTTTTATTTAGAAGTGTGTGTGAGAGAAGAAACTTAATTGAGGAAAGAGTTTAAAATTCTTCCCACTTCTTTTCCTGGTTTAGAAAGAGATGGACAATTTTCTTTTCCTGTTTCAGTGGTATTTTTATCTCACCCCAAAACTTTTCTCATGCAACATTTTTATCATTCAGTCAAAACATTTTTGCACATTATCAGTCTTAAAAAACCTGACAAGAGATTCTGAAAAATGTGGTTGATAAATGGAAGTCTTAAGAAAAGTTAATTGTCATAGCACATGTTAAATATTTAATAAAAGGGGTAAAGTAGCAAAATGTGAAATTGAATTTTATAGCTCTAATCCTTGTATATCTTCTTTTCAGGTTTTCCCCTTTCAACACATGTAAAAAATAAAGAGTGCTGTGAACAGATATATACAGTAAATTGCTGCTAACCAGAATCCTCGGAGACTAAATCCTGGAGCACCTTAAATGAGCCAGATTGACGTGGTTGACTGGGCCCTTCCGGATTGTCATGCAGCATCCTGTACACATCAGATTGAGGTACAGAGGTTGGTACTGGTTCACTGCAACATGAACAAGGGATGAGCAGGTAAAGAGAGTTAACCAATATAACTTTAAAGCAGTAGAGCTACTGGACATGAGTATGATTCAATAAACAAAGTTATGATAAAAATCAGTTTACAGAATCATTGAATAGACCTTTCCCCCCTGACTAGATTGGCATGCTTTGTACAGTGGTGAAGTTCTGATATGATATCTTTCTTAATTTAAATACATATTCCTGTTATTGCTGCACAGTATTCTCATAAGCAAAGTTCTCATTTTACAAATAAATATCAAAGTTTAATTCAAGCTCAGAAAAGTGACTTTTAAAAGTGCACCTTCTGATTAATCAACATATCCAAAGACTGTGTCTTTGAGTCCGATTTCTGCACTTTACTGATAAATCCAGTTTTAGTACTATTAGCCCAGTAGAGCAAATACAATCAGGGGAGAGTAACCTGGATTTCATATAAGTGCTAATTATTATTATTATTCATAATATTTATTATTTACTATTCTGTTCTGGCTCATGCCTCAGCTACATTTAGAATGCAAAATCTTTATTACTGCTGATGCTGAAAAGTCAGAACTTAGCTTGATTTTCAGATCCTAGGTTGAGTTTATGGGACTGGCAGTTAGAAAAGTCATCTCTTGATTTATAAATTTAAAAAATTAGATGTAGAAGTCTAGCTAGAGAATAAATATGACACCCCGGGAAGTTATTTTTACAGTAACTTTTCTGGCTATAGCTGCATTAGAAATGGGCCCTTACTTGTCTTTACCTCAAAACAGCTGCAGCCAAGTCACCAGTTGCTCTTTGACCTAATTTTCAGAATACCATTTTCAGGTCAAATAGCTTCAAGTGTAGTATTAAAACATGATATCACTCACACTATTAAGAAAGGTTTGCAGAAATCTGAACAACCCAATCTTTCTGCAGGGCATCATCAGCCAATCACTAGTTAATATATTAATTGTTAAGATAATAGTCATTGTGATTTACTTAACTTACATTCATAGGAAAAGACAATGAAACAAATGTTCCAGTGGCAAATGTTTAAAAGCCAAGCTTTATTAAATGGAAAATCTGTTGTTGTTTTTTTAAATTAAATAAAATTGGTCTGTTGCTTACTTTTTGTAGTGGCTGCCTTAACAAAATAAACACACAGGGAGAAAATCAGACTCCATTAAAGTCAATGGCAAAATTCCCACTGACTTTAGTAGGGACAGGATTTTATCCCTAATATTTCATATTAGCTGTCTTATATTAAGAATTATTACTAACAAGATATGCAGGTATGGTGAAGAACAGACACTGTGGATGCATTGTGAAGAATTAGGCTGAAGACAAAGGGGTTTCAACTTTTTGAGTATTGGGGAACTAAGTAGAAGCAGTATCATATACTTTAATGAAGCATATTACTGTATTTATACAGAGATAAATGTTAATTTTAAGTCTCTCATTATGAGCTTGCTCCTACTCTCAATCTTATGGTAAAACTCCCATTGCTTGCAAGGGGGTTGGATTGGGTTTTGTGTCTGTCTATCTGTCTGGAGTTTGAGAGTAAGGTTTAGAATATGAAATGGATTAGAAGTAGACTCAGTGACTGGTCAAAAATCTTTTGTTCTATGTTTGTATGTTGGATGCCATGAATATCTATAATCCTAATTTGTGGTCAAGCTGGGAGGTCATACTCAGTGGGGGCCTGGAGAGGTCTGTCCCAGGTCTGGTACTAATTAATGTTTGATAATGAGAGTATTCTTATGAAATTTATGGATGACACCAAGCTGAGCGGGGCTGCAAACACTTTGAAGGACGGGATTAGAATTCAAAATGCCCTTGACAAGTTGGAGAGTTGATCTGAAATCAACAAGCTGGAATTCAATAAAGGCAAAGGCAAAATCATATGTACAAACACAAAATGGGGAATAACTGGCTAGGCAGCAGTACTGCAGGAAAGGATCTGGGGCTCACAGATTGAATATGAATCAATAATGGCATGCAGTTGCAAAAACGTCAAGTATCATTCTGAAGTGTATTAAGATGAGTGTCATATGTAAGACACAGGAGGTAATTATTCTACTCTGCTTGGCACTGGTGAGGCCTCAACTGGAGTATTGTGTCTAGTTTTGGGTGCCACACTTGAAGAAAGATGTGGACAAATTGGATAGAATCCAGAGGAGAGTAACAAAAATTATAAAAAGTTTAGAAAACCTGACTTGAGGAAAGTTAAAAATAACTGGGCATGTTTAGTCTTGAGAAAAGAAGACTGAGTGGGGGACCTGTTAACAGTCTTCCAGTATGTTAAGGGCTGGTATAAAGAGGACTGTGATAAATTGACCTTCATGTCCACTGATGGGCTTAATCTATAGCAAGGAAGATTTAGGTTAGATATTAGGACAAACTTTGACTAAAAGATAGTTAAGTATTGAAATAGGTTACCAACAGAGGTTGTAGAATCTGTGTCATAGTTTTTAAGAACAGGTTAAATAAACATCTGTCAGGGATGATCTAGGTGTACTTGGCCTTCCTCAGGATGGGGGGGTGGAGTAGATGCCCTCTTGAGGTCCTTTCCAGCTCTATATTTCTGTGATTCCCCAACCAGATTTCTCTGAGCTATTTTTAAAATAGTAAACTAAATATCTTTCCTCCTCAGCATAGTACTTTTTACTCTTGGTGAAAATACTGTAGATAAGACATATGCATTGTTATTAAATTTACTTTGGAGAACAAAGACTGCAGCAAGTAACAGGAAAAACTTTTCATTTAAGTTTAAAAAAAATCAGCATTTTTTTTATTCCTACTAATGGTTGATTTTTAACTTTTTACCCAGATTTACCTATTTTTAACATGTTCCCAAGAAAAATCATAAGTAATGGTTGTAGAATTACTTGCCACACACAAAAATTACTTACCAGACACTAGACTTTAAGATACCTTTTCCAAGTTCACGCATAGGGAAAAGTAACCCCCAACAGTTGAGACATTTCAGGGCTCTGTGCAGGGTCAGTTCCCAAACTGGGGATGCCTTTGCCAACTATTAAACCTGAATCCTTAGACTTAATCCAGGATTTCACAGGGGGAGAAAGCAAGTTTGCTTTTTAAAAAAATGTTATTGATGATGGATAACCAGGCAGTAGGGCAGTGGTGGGCAACCTGCAGCCCGCGCTGCTTCCTGCAACTCCCATTGGTCAGGAATGGCGAACCACGGCCATGCCTGCGGAAGGTCAATATAAACACTGTCTTGCGGCCTGCCAGTGGATTACTCTGGCGGGCTGCAGGTTGCTCATCACTGCAGTAGGGCAACACTGTTACTCCACAAAGCTCTTATAGAATGGAATTTTGTTTCCATCAGATCATCATGAACTTGGTGTATATGCTTTTGGATAAGTATGATTTTTGTAGTTAGTAAAGGCCCAATCCTGCAATGTGCGGAATGACCTGAACTCCCATTCAAGTCCGTGATTGAGCCTTCGGATTGAAAATATTTGTAATAGTTTAAATGTGGATACTACATATATTGTAAACGATTTAACTTAAAATACTGTTAGTAAAACACAGTAAAAAGAAGGTAAGTTGTTAGAGTGTAAAATGAAGGAGAAAGCAATGTAAATGACAAATTATTAATGAGAAAGCTGCTGTACCTTGGAAAAGAGACACAATTAATTGTTTTCCATATGAAATATTACAAGCTTGACTGGAAGTTAGTTTTGAAGTCTGCTTTGTACCACTCTGGAGTCATTCCCTGGTTGTCTGTAAGAGTTTTTACTATACTACTACTCTGTATAAAATTCTTAACTAACCATTCCCCAGACATGAAAGAACATTGTAGTAGTGCTGCACTCAAATAGGAGGAGGAGTGCTTATGACGTGTACAGATATTTGCTAATGAACCCAGGAAGGAGTCTATTCTGGTCCTTCTTGGCCAAAGGTTAGTGGTCTGGAATGAGTTTTCTTGGATTGGGGTTAAGAGTGAAAAAAATTGAAGAATATCTGCAAGACTTTCTGGGCATGAAGGACTGCAACAGAGTGTAAAATGTCTTGTACTGACTGCTTTAATTTTTCTTTCTTCAGATGATAGGGCTAGGTATCATAGGACCCAGTCCTGCAAAGAATTATGCAAGTGCTGAGCTTTAAGGACTTAAATAGTCCAATTGAACTCAGTGTGACTTTGTTAGTGCTTAAAATTAGCTGTTGTGTGTAAGTCTTTTCAGGATTGAGGTGCTGGTCAGGAGTGGATCAAGAGTCCGTTTTAAAGAGTAGCTACAGTTATCAGCTGCAAATAGAGAGATTCTTTTTAAAATGAGTCTGACCTGTAACACTTGTCTTTTGTATGTTCTGACAGACATCTGTAACAATCTGCATTAGAAAAAGATTTTTAATACATAAATAGTACAGCTGTCTATTAATTGCAATTAATGCCTGCAATTAACTGAAAACAAAATTGATGTGTTCATTTTTTTTTAACGTGTTAATTGCATACCTGTGAGCGGGGTGGGAGGCATCGACCCGCGGGAGAAGGGGCTGAAGCCCCAGCCCGCAGCTCAGGAGGAGGCATTGTGGGGTTGAAGCCCTAGCCTACAGCTCTGGAGGTGGAGCAGGGGCTGGAGCAGCCCCAGCCTGCAGCTTCCTGGGTGGAGGGGAGGGGGGGGCTGGAGCCCTGCACCCCAAACCCTGAGAGCGACTGAAGCCCTGAGTCCCAAGAGTGGGTGAAGCCCCAAGCCCCATGCTCCAAGAGGGGTTGAAGCCCTGTAGCTCCCAGACCTGACCCTATATTTGAAAATATAGAAAATCCCAAAAATATTTAAATAATGGTATTCTAATATTGCTGAACAGTGTGATTAAAACGGCGATTAATCATGATTAATTTTTTAATCTCATGATTAATCACAATTAATTTTTTAATTGCTTGACAGCCCTAATTAATAGTATTTTAATATAAGCTTCAAAATCTTTAGTTGCTGTTTAGATACCTTTTAAAATTTAATGTAGAAACAGTATGGAAATTGATAATGTTAATGCTTTAGCAAATATATTCAGTGCACATGCTGGCTCTGATTACCTCATTGAGGGATTTTCCCCAAGAGCTGTAGAAACTTGGCCCTGCAGTGTTTCCATTATATTGTCATCTGAGTACATCTGCAGAGGTGTATTAAACTGAGCATGTACAATCTTGACACCAGGAAGTTCCATTTCCAAGGGAATGTTAGGGGCCATCTTAGATGCAGCTTTCAAATCAGTAGGGCAAATAGTACTGAGAGTACTAACAGAAGAGGGGGTACTACGTCCACTGCCACCATCAATACCGGAAGGAGTACTGCCTCCACTGTGTTAATAGCCAGTTTACAGAAAGGTGTGCAACACATACCCAAAATAAAGACAAAATAAACAAGTGTAGAGATGTTAACATGACTGTAAAGAAAGAGATGAAATCTATCAAATATAGAAAAGCAAAAGTATGTTTAATCTAGTCAACTTTACTTCCTTAATTCCCTCCCCCCCCCCCCCAACAACAACTACAAACAAAACCCAAGACCCAAGACCAAGCAATTAAAAACTCTGAATCTGTGAAAGCCTGGTTTATAAATATATTTTTCCCTGTCACTGACAGTAAACATAACCTTCTGAAAGTTCAGAGTACTTGGAAAATAATATTACTTTGTACTTTTAACATTGTGCCTTTTTCAGAGGATTAATGAAGCCTCATCAGACCCCTCTGAACTAGGTAAGCATTATTCCAGCCTCACAATGGGAAGTGGAGGCATTGAGAGGTTAAGTGACTTGCCCAAGATCACACAGTCAATGATAGAGCCAGGAATTAGAACCCAAACTCTTCATTCCAGTCTGTGACCTAAATGCTACATTACATTTTCTCACTTGAAAGGGTTTTCTATAAAGAAAACTTAAAATAACACGTGACCTTTTAAGATTTTCCTTAATACTACACTGAAGTATTTATTACACCTTTAAAGTTATTTCAACAATAAATTTATTACATATTTTTTCCATATATTTTGTTGAAAATTTCAAAAAAAGTTAAAAATGTTAAAAAATAACTGGACATACTTTTGCCATTCTAAATTATAACAATTCCAAGCAGAATGTAAAATGGCCCTTCACAAAAACAGAATAGATTCTCAAATGATATGAAATGAAACTTGGTCACTGTTACTTTTGAATTTGACCTTATTTTTGATTTAGAATGAAAATAGGATGTTGGCTACAACTCCAGTTTTAGAAAAGCTGTAAAGCCGCTGGACATTAATATGGGCAAATCCTCTGGAAAATCATTAGCAGAGTAACGTAGTGAATATTACATCAAAATGTTTCTTTTCAGTGTCACTGGTTTTACCATTCTTCCCATAGCACTTAGGGCCCTGTTCAGCCCTAATTTGACTCAGAGGGTTTCTTTTTCGAGGGGGCAGTTTTTCCAGGAACAATGCATAACCCAGGCCTTCCACAGTCATCTGAGACCACTTCCTTATCACGGGCACAGTCACATATATGTGGTAATCAAACTCTTGGGAAGGATTGTGATTCAATCTGCTTCCTTCGACCTACATGTTTGTGTACTGATAGGTTCTTTTCTGGCTGACTCCTGAATAAATCAGGGAGAATTTTATATTGCTCTCAGTTTGGAGATACAATGCAGTGCCTGCCTGACAGCCACATTTCAGAACTCTGCAATGGAGAGGAAGAGGGACCACAATAACCCAAAATTAATGCTCCCTTTAGTTCTTAAGTGGAATTTGTACAGGACCACATTCTGAAAGTTTAAAGAGAGAAACATTCCTTACCATCAAAGGAAAATTAATTCCAAAAAAGACAGGCAAGTTCCCAAGTAAGTATGCTGTCCCAGCATGCCCCAGCCAAAAGCCCATAGAAGGGACCAGTCACAGATACACAAGTCAGTGCTTAGAAAAATCAGGGTCACACGTTAGAAGATTTGGATCCTGTGGCAGTGCAAGACTTGTTAATGATGAGTTTAAAAAAATGGAATACATTGAGAGAAGGCCAAAAGAAGCATAGCTATTGCTACCAGCAACAAGGAGAGGCAATGCTAAGTTAGTGTAAAGATTTCATACCTCTGTTAATTAGTTTTGTCAGCATGAAGTCTATAATTGTGCCTAAAATTTCATTTATTGGCCAAATCCTACAGTTCACACTTGGTCCTTATTTTGGCAGAAATCCTATTGAGAGAGGACTGTAGGAGTTGGCCTTATATCCTGAAGAGAGATTTACAACTGAGATGGTGTTATTACTGTATTTAATAAAGGATAATATGAATGTAACCTGTTTTGGGTTGTAATCCGCAACAGTTGCTTTAGGAATTTCCAACATAATAAATTAAAATTTCTCTTTTGGCACACGTGACTTTAGGTACCAAATAAGCAGAATTTGCTTAATGTATATGTTCAGTCCAGAGGGTAAAAAACTAACTGGCAACCGCTGCTGTTGCGACTGCTTTGCAATTGCAGAGCACCATTCATCTGAGGCTAATAAATAATACTTGCAATTTGAAGTATACAGAACTTTCCATCGTTAAAGCACTTTACAAATATTAACTAATGAAGACCACAAAGCCTGATCACTTTCTTATCAGATTAATTTTTGCATCTAATTTCCCATCTGCAATCCTGAAAAATGGTCATTTGTTTAAATATGTTCACTGAAAATGACAAGTATCTTTTACAAAGCATTGCTTGATTTAAAAAATGAATTTTCAAAACATACATTATGAAACAATCCTAAATATTCAAGATTATATAGAATGAGAGTGCTTACTATAAGAATAAATACAAAAATATATGACCTCTTATAGACAGTCCCAACATTCAACTAAATGAGAAAAAGGTGATATTAATATAGTTGAACCTTGTAAATTCTCACTGTGATGGTCTACAAGTCCAAACATTGTCACAAAAAACAGTTTCACGCCACTTCTCTGCAAAGATTTAATAATGGTGTGCAATAGTGGGGTCACACGTAGATTGTGACCTGTCCTTTGTGCCAACACAAGGAAGTAAGGGGGCATAAGGTACACTCTGACTCCTCTGTGCCTGTGCTCTATACTGGCAGTTCTTGTGCATGGGAGGAGCAGGCCACATAGAGTAGAGCTACTGCATCCCCACTTCCTGCAGGTGAGTAGGAAGGGGTGGAGTGGACAGGGAATGGGTGGACTGTAGACTGCAGTTAAGCTGGCACATTGGGAAGCATACACTACAACAGATCTAGACCTAGTGCAGTTTACTTCTTCTCAAGAGTTGTAGGGAGACTGAGGGAGAGAGAGAGACTCCCTGTGCCAAAATCTCCCGTCTAGGGCACCCCAGAGGGCAGTGCAACAATGTGCTGTGCCTTGCAATGCACTAGATCATAATCTGATGACCTATCCCTAAAACACTAAACTTTTCATGGTATGGATCTTGTCATTTGTGTGTGTCTGTGAGATGTGTAACAGCTGTAGAAATAATAACTAAGAATATACATAATTAAAACTAAACTTCATTTGTCAAAACAAATGAACAACACCCTTAATCTTTTTTATTGTACCGGTTCACTAACTGGACAGTTCACAAAATTTGATAATCTGCCTGTGTCTGGCCATCATGAATAGGATGTCAATGAGGTTCATGCCAACTGCTTTGACTTCTCAGACTGCTGTATCAGACTTGAGTTGCTGGAATTATGACACAAATATTTTTTTACTTTGAAAATAAAGTACAGAACTGAGTGTAAGTGGAGTGCCCCAGGGGTTGGTCCTGGGGCCGGTTTTGTTCAATATCTTCATAAATGATCTGGAGGATGGTGTGGACTGCACTCTCAGCAAATTTGCGGATGATACTAAACTGGGAGGAGTGGTTGATACGCTGGAGGGCAGGGATAGGATACAGAGGGACCTAGACAAATTGGAGGATTGGGCCAAAAGAAATCTGATGAGGTTCAATAAGGATAAGTGCAGGGTCCTGCACTTAGGACTGAAGAACCCAATGCACAGCTACAGACTAGGGACCGAATGGCTAGGCAGCAGTTCTGCAGAAAAGGACCTAGGGGTGACAGTGGACAAGAAGCTGGATATGAGTCAGCAGTGTGCCCTTGTTGCGAAGAAGGCCAATGGCATTTTGGGATGTATAAGTAGGGGCATAGCGAGCAGATCGAGGGACGTGATCATTCCCCTCTATTCGACATTGGTGAGGCCTCATCTGGAGTACTGTGTCCAGTTTTGGGCCCCACACTACAAGAAGGATGTGGATAAATTGGAGAGAGTCCAGCGAAGGGCAACAAAAATGATTAGGGGTCTGGAACACATGACTTATGGGGAGAGCCTGAGGAAACTGGGATTGTTTAGTCTGCAGAAGAGAAGAATGAGAGGGGATTTGATAGCTGCTTTCAACTACCTGAGAGGTGATTCCAGAGAGGATGGTTCTAGACTATTCTCAGTGGTAGAAGAGGACAGGACAAGGAGTAATGGTCTCAAGTTGCAGTGGGGGAGGTTTAGGTTGGATATTAGGAAAAACTTCTTCACTAGGAGGGTGGTGAAACACTGGAATGCGTTACCTAGGGAGGTGGTAGAATCTCCTTCCTTAGAGGTTTTTAAGGTCAGGCTTGACAAAGCCCTGGCTGGGATGATTTAACTGGGAATTGGTCCTGCTTTGAGCAGGGGGTTGGACTAGATGACCTCCTGAGGTCCCTTCCAACCCTGATATTCTATGATTCTATGAAGCCACTGGTAGTAACAAAACCCCTGTACTGGAAGGCAGTGTCCATAGAAATTTGCTCAAGCCTGTGAGGCCTCCTAGCCTATGTAGCCACAGAGGCTGCCTTTGATTCTAGAAGGATACTTTTCCTTCTGTTGTGATCAAGTAATATTGTTTCAGGCATTATAACACACAATTATGAGAGAGAGAGAGAGGTTAGATTTAAAAAATGGAGCTCATGTGCAAAAGCTCTTCCCTTTCTGATAGTTTTACAACTCTGTGGTGCTCAGATTTTTCTTTTATTTAGTTCCTCTGCAGATTGCATTGTGAATAGGTCAGCCTGCTGTAGAGTGATTAAGTGTGGCCTTTACAATCTACATGGTTCAGAGGATCCTGATATGACAGGTTGGATAAAATTCTTAATTAGCAAGTTTACAAGTGATACATATGTATAGTGGGACTAGAGAATTTCACAGCTCCATAAACTTGTCAAGATCAGATTTTGATCTCAATTGCACTGATGTAAATGTGGACTAGGTGCACTGAGTTGAAGAACCTTCACTGGAGTTATTCCAGACTCTCACCAGTGTCACTGACCTTAGAATCTGGACCCTCTTCCTTTAGGAAATGGAAGCCTGAGCTCTGCAAAGCATGCATTTTATTTTTTAAAAGCTTTAAAATAAGCTTTAATCGCATAAAATAATTTTGAGTGCATTAATATCACATTTTCATATGAATTGTGAGTATGCATTAAAAAACCCATGCATCCAACACATCATACAGTTAGAGTTTATAACCTGCTTCGGCCTGAGACTATGAAAGGTTTGGGACGAATATTATGCTTGTGTTCAAAGTAGTTCGTATCCTGTAAAAAAAAAAAAGGATTAAAATAACTTCCCTCAGTTGATGAATATTTATTATTGGGTAAAATTAGCGTACACAAAAGTTACAAATTGTTAAGAACCAACTACTTTTATGTTGCATACTAGTGGTATTAAAACACACTTGCTGTTATAGTCAGAAACACAGAAGAGTACAAGGTAGTGTAAGAGGGAAGGATGGTGTGTCGTATCGCAGCCAAACCCAGTGAAGGGGAATTTTTAACTATCTGCATTATCGCTACTTTTATAGCTGAATGTTCACTCCTGGATGTTAAAAGGAAATTGCTTCATTTATTACCAGTTTTGAAAAATATGACAGAAGTTTAGAGTGTCAAAAAAGAAAAATAAAACAACAAGAGCTGGACTTTTGAATGGACAACAAAACAGAGAGTGGTATTTCCACAAGAGACCATGTAATGTAAGTAAACACCAATACTTACTTTTGAGGTGAACTAGGAATTAGACCCCTCAGTTGTCCCTGAAGAGCGTCTTGAATATTGCCAGATGAATACAGCCCAATTGGAGAATTATAGGAGGAACTCACTACCTGTCTTTTGTCATCAATGTTTGCTGCTGCAACAAAAGGCTGGGCCCTTCTGTTATGAGCTGTACCAATAGGCTTGAATTCCTGTACGTAATAGGCAGACAAAATACACAAAGCTACAGTGCACACTGAAGCTAATAACAAGCAAAACTGACAACACTGGAATTTATTAATCTCATCTTTCTTTCTCCACTGGAACTTAAAGGCTTGATTAAGTAAACACATAGGTTATACAGACATTCTGTTTATCCATTAAACTTTCATGCGCGTGTAAGCCATGTACATTCAAATGTTATTTGTCTGCCTTGTGAAGACAAATAGAATGAGTGGTATGTTTGCAAATATACATAAAAATTTCAATAATTTTGTAATTGGTATAGGGGTTGCATGTAATCATATACACTTTAAAAGTATTTTTTTCTTTTTTCACTGTTTGCTTTATGAATTTTGTCTATAGTCAGTTTAATTGTTTACCTTAATTGTTAGCTAGTCCCTGTCCTCTGTTTTTTGTGTGGGTTTGTTACACAGCAATAGGGGAGAGAAACACATTTTAAAATAGGGAAATGAGATTGTAAAGCCAAAAAATTTGGCAGGGGAGCATTGGTGAAGGCACAGCTCCTGAAATTATTTTTAACTGAAATAGACTTGATTTCATTCCTAGGGAAGAGGTCAATGTGAGAGCTTCTATTAGCCCTTAAAAAAGAAAAATCATAGCTACATAGGGTGCCTACCAGAAGATGCAAACAGGAAAAAGCAGTCCTATTAAAAGAGAAAGTTAAGAAATAATGAACTGAAGAAAACTACAAGAGCAGCACATAGGTAAATCACCACAGAGAAGTTCGTTTGCAGTTTTGTGTTGCTGTACATTGTGAAGGGGATGCAATGTAACAGTATATTAGTAATTAGATATTATCTTTTACTGTCGTTGAGGATCATTTCTAATTTATGTAATGTATTTGATTCACCATATTGGAAATTGATTCAATTCCATCATATACATTTAGGTCACAATAAGCAAATATTAAAAAACCCTAAAAATGGTCATTTCATCTCATTTTTAATTGTTGTTGACAAATGAAGACATGTGACATCATAATAGCATCTTCACAATGTTACAATGGTCAAAAGTATATTTGCATTGTTGCAATTAGTTAGACTTAAATTCCCTTTTCTAGGAAAATCATAATGTGCACAAAATGTCAACGACAAAACATACAGCAGTCAAAACAGTCCAGCTCTTGTGTTTATTATACTTAAAACTAGGAAAGTTGTTCCTTTACACCAGAAATTTAGTAAGATCCAAGAGCATTCAAAGTCAAAACAGGAATAAGAAGGAATTACAATATTTAATTATGTTGTTATAGCTAACAGATGACCTTCTAATCAGTACAGGGCTAAGTCATTTTCATGACTATGTTCATGTCAGAAACAGAGGGAAGGTGGCTCAAGCAGTTTACATGTATCAACAGTGTACATGGAATGAGTTCAGGACTGGGGCCACATATTAATTAATAATGATATATTATTATTCATGTTGTATACTTTAATAAAAAGTACATTATTGTTTATGTTTTGGAGGTGTCCTCACACTGAAAGACCTTTAGTTTAACTCATAGCACAATGTTGGGAGATATAAATTGGTGTTAAATGAAGGTGTGTGAAGGGCAGGGACTCATATTTTGGCATAATTATCATGCTTTAAAACTTGATTGCAATTACTAATACATTCGGATCATCTATATTATAGTGATTATTGGATTCTTTTTCTGGTTTTGTTTAGATTTCTACCCTTAGCTATATAATAATAAAATTAACCCTGTAGGGAAAGTATAACATCTTTGCTATTCAAAAATCAGATCACACTGAGCACCATATTTAAAATGACAGGAAATCCATAAGGTAAGGCAGAAGTAAAATATAATTAAAAAAAAACTACTATAAGAAAAACGGTCACTTTAGCTGAGGTTAAAAAAGGCAAAAGGAGAAAGAAAAATATATGATCTACAGCACTGTTTCACACTGCTAATAGAACATAAAAGAACAAACCAAAAGAGGTGTTTATTATTAAAGCAACATGCATTAGCCGTTTTAGGCAGACTTATTTTCTTTGACGGTTTAAACTAGTTGAAATCCTTATGTTATAAATTGCTTTCTTACATAACCCCATGTTCGGCTATGTTACTAATACTAATAAAATGGTCTATTATTTCACAATATTTATCCATCATATTATATCATATTTCAATAGAAATGAAAAAGCTGGCTATTTGCTATCAGAATCAACCAAGCTGGCCATCAGGAATGGCTCTCAAGCAGCATTTCCTATTGTTAAGTAGTATTTCTGCCATAGGCTTCACTGCTGGCTCTTGCCCACAGTTTTTCCTGGGGTAGGAGGAGGAAGAACTGTGGGCAGTAAGTCCTTGTCCAGCTGGCTAAAAGAAACGAGGTAGTTCCCCTTTAAGGGCTCCCTTTGCAACTAGTAGCAGAGGTGGAAGAAGGGGGAATGTCTACCTGCACAGAGTGGGATGAAGCAGGAAACAGCTGAATGAGGTTGGGGGGAGGCATTGGCCTTCCAGCTGATCAAAAGGGGGTTGGTGTTTATACCTTGTGCAGTCTCAATAAAGCCCTCTTTCACCTTGATTGGACTGGCAACACCCACCCTCCCACCCATAGAATCTGAAAAAGGACTGGGTTCCTTCATGATCCACTATGGGCATCACACTAGCCCTTTTTCCTTGGGGGCTTTTCCCTCGCCACCAGATTGGCTGATGTGGGGAAGGTTTTTTTCACCTTTTCCACAGCAAGTTTGGGTTTGGGCAGGGTGAGGCAGTGGGGTTAGGTTATAAAGTCATAACTCAGTAAGTAGAACTCGTGGCAGATGTCCAGTGCAGTTACTCATTATGGAAGGGATATGGTTATAAGATAAAATTGATTGTAATAGGATGTAAAAGAAAGCATTCTTTAGGGAGCTGAGGAAGGGTGGGGGTGTGTGTTCAGGACTCCTATGTCTCGTATAGCAGGGAGCCAAACTCACCTCTGGGTGGTGCGGTCCGGTGAGTGATTATGTGAAAATGATTAAGGGAAGGCGGATGACTTGCACTGTAAAATATATGGCCGGGTATTCCCAGATATTTTAGGTGAATAAAGTTGTGGCCTAATTACACCACATCCATTGCCTCCTGTGTTTCTTTCTGTTGTGGCTGAACTGTGTGGGTGCGTGTGTGTGTGATGGGGCAGTATTCAATGCTTATGAATCTTCTAAACTCCGTGAGACTGCTTAGCCTATTTCTTTCTTATGCTAAAGGTTCTTAGTTGAAGTTCCATAATTGGAACTAGGTGAATTATTTTAAATTTTTATATGGCCTCCTGTGAGCTTCTGGAGAATGGTTGTGCACCTGCTGAAATTTAAATTAAACTTAACTCTCTGCTAGCATGCTGGAGCAGGGAATCACTTATAATGTGTTATTGTAATTTTATAACTCTCAAACAGAAGTAATACATTTCTCAGAGTCATTGATTGTCATGTAGATTTTTCGGGGGCATGCATGAATCTTCATCTATATTATTGTTTAATGTTCAGTTTTTAAAAACACTAATATTCTTGATATTTTTAATGTTTATGATACTTTACTTACTGTAGTAAACATTAGCTTTATATTAACAGAGGTTTCTGTCTGGCAGAGAGTCAAAAACTGTGGCTGGATTTTGAAAAAGGTCCTGTGTTTACCACAACTATGACCTTTGGAATAAGTTCAAGAGAGACTTAACAGGAAATGCTTTTTATAGAACGTGACGGTTTCCCGCTTTTGCAGACCAACTCATGGATGGACAAGCTTTTTAATGTAGTGGCGTTTGAGTTTAAAGGAAAATACAATGCTTTGGGATTTTTTCACTAATCTTGGCCTTTATTTAATTCAGGCATTGTATCCATCTTTCTCTCAGTTTTCAACAACCTTTAACCTATGTGACTTAAACCAACATTTATTATAGATGCACTATAATTCACCAGCTCAGGCTAAGGAACATTAAGAAATTTTGCCACTGTATTGCTTTTAGTAGCAGAATATATATGGCAGGCTTCAGGTGTTGTGTCTAAATATGCAGTAAAATAAATCTCCTTTAATTTAAAGTTTCACCTATTTCAGAAACAGAATTAATAATGTCATTTTTGTGCAGAGTAGATCAGTATGATGGATGCTCTAGAACAGTGGTAGGCAACCTGCCGGCCGCAAGTTGCGTACCGCTGCTCTAGAATGATTGTACTTGATTTAAAATATAAATACTCCCTTAAATGGTTCATCATATTTGCTTACAAGCTCAACTACTACTCTGAGGACCTATCTGTTGCTGACTATATATAAACTTTTATTATTTCACTTTTAAGGGAAGAAGTAGACATGCAAATGAATGTTGACTGTTTAGTATAGCACTGTGGTTTTCAAACTTTTTTCATTTTTGGACCCCTTAATAATTTTGAATGGAGGTGCAGACCCCTTTGGAAATACTAGATATAATCTGAGGACCCCTAGGGGTACACGGACCACAGGTTGAAAACCACTGTTCTATGGTAATAACAACATTTCGTGGACCCCTTAGACATAGTCCGCGCAGCCATAGTGATCCATCGGACCACAGGTTGAAAACCACTGCTATAGCAGAAGCAGTTTTTCTGATGACAGTAATGGAGATAGCTTTTCAATAACTTGTTGCCAAATAGTACTTAACGGTTCAACTACATTATATGTTTTTAAAAAATTGTCTCCTTTAGGCATAGAATTATAATGGTATAGGCTTATTGTCACTCAGATTTTTTTTTTCTACAGCTTTTTCCATTTGGAGGAACCCTAACATTAGAAAAGCCTTTTCTTCTGTGTATGTCCTAGATATCCCACAAAACTATGCATTTGAAATAGTTGTATCGTTTCTTGATGTCCTGTATCATACTGCTAAAATTACAACACTATTTTTGCTAAAATACATTGTACTAGTTAATACAAAGGTTTATAGAATATTTAGGAAAAATTTGTAGAATTGGAACATTGAGATTATATTCATGTTTAAAAGCCTGTCAGAGCAGGATTGAATCACTTATTTCATGGAATTCACTGGGATGGAGTCTGTTCCAAATGTATTGTAGAACAGAGAGTCATGGTAATCCATCATGGAATAATATATTTAAATATTTGTTTTGATGCTGTCCTGCCAGCACAATAATAATCTTTTTCCAGCTAAGATTGAAATTATAATATGTATGTATTAAGGTTAGAGAATATATGGCAAATGGAACAAAGCACTGAGAACCAAATGCTGAAATCTATCCCCTACAGCAGCGGCGGACAAACTTTTTGGCCTGAGGGCCACATGGGATTTCCAAAATTGTATGGATGGCCGGTTGGGGGAGGCTGTGCCTCCCCAAACAGCCAGGCGTGGCCTGACCCCCCATCCAACGCCCCTGTTCCCTGTCCCCTGGTGGCCCCCTGGGTCTCCTGCCCCATACACCACTCCCTGTCCCCTGACCGACCCCGGACCCCCCGCCCCTGACTGCCCCCTGCCATCCCATGCAACCCTTCCTCTCATTCCTGACTGCCCCCATTCAACCCCCCTGTTCCCCGCCCCGCCGCCTATCCACACCCCTGCCCCCTGACCACCCTCTCAAACTTCCCCGCCCTCTATCCAATCCACCCTGCTCCCTGCCCCCTTACCACTCTTCCTGGAGCACTGATGGCTGGCAGCACTACAGCCGAGCCACCTGGCTGGAGCCAGCCACGCACTGCGCAGCTCAGAGCACCAGGTCAGGCCGGGCTCTGCAGCTGCGCTGCCCCAGGAGCTCACAGCCCCCCCACCCAGAGCATTGCGCCGGCAGCGCAGTGAGCTGAGGCTGCGGGGGAGGGGGAACAGCAGGGGAGGGGCTGGAGGCTAGTCTCCTGGGCCAGGAGCTCAGGGGCCGGGCAGGAGGGTCCCAAGGGCCGTAGTTTGCCCACCTCTGCCCTACAACCTCTAGAGCTGCAGTTAAAAAGTGGCTAGTTGTAGACTGATCAGTGTGGAGCTGGCCATCCCTCCCACATGCAGATCTGTACAAGGACATCTATGTAAGTTCTAGGCAGGTGAGAATTCAGACAGATTTCATTTGCCTTGTTCAAGTGCAGGAACAAGGATTTTACCTTTCTTAGCTATAGATAGAATGCTCCAGTTTATGACTAATCCATCTGAATAGTTTAGTCTTCCACAAATTCAGAATTTGCAATTTTCTGAGGCTCTGTGGCTTTGCGTGGTGCCACAATTGTTAATTGAAATAAAGAGACTCAAACTTACCGGACCACCCTGTTCAACTGACTGTCACATCACAAAGACTACTATGGTATTATAACTGAATAATTTTGATATTTTACCTTTAGTCCCATTTGAAGAAATTAAAAATATGATGGATGAAATATCAAAAAGAGATACAGCAATTTAAACAACATTAATATCAAAGGAGATATTTTCTTTCCATAATAAAACTATAGTGAAGTGTAAAGTTTTCAGAGAATGTTTGAGGCACTCTGCAGTTTTTCCACAAGAGAATTTTAGGTTTTATTTAAATGTAAATGTGAAATTTAAAATGTCAATCATTTAAAATTATGTCCATGTATTTAATACATTTTTTGATTTATATCAAGTTAAGTAGACAGTGTAGGAAATGTGCTATAAAGAATTATAATGACAATGAATGAGACAATTTAGAATGTGAAAAGCTATATTGAAGTGTGTTGGTGACTTATAAAACTTCATACCTGTGGATCAGCTTCCAAATTTATTTTAAAGGGATGTGCTTTGCCATCTTCCGAAACTTGTGGAGACCATAATCTACTTTCTGCCCTGTTAATAAGAGAAAAAATCCCTCCCATAAACATGGCATATATACGTGAGATATATACACCGAAAACTTAAAATCTGAAGTTTGTTCAAAAATCCTTTTGAATGTTTTAACATATAAAATTCTTATAATGACATGGACAGAATCTTATGTGATGTTTTTGTGTATTTGCTAGTCAGAAAACATACATAGTAAGTTATACATGAAGATACACTGTACTAAAGATTATGTATGGCTCTATAATAGTCTCTTCTTGAGTTCAGGTTTCAGAGGGGTAGCTGTGTTAGTCTGTATCAGCAAAAACAACAAGGAGTCTTTGTGGCACCGTAGAGACTAACATATTTATTTGGGCACAAGCTTTCGTGGGCTAAAACCCACTTCATCGGATGCATGGAGTGGAAAATACAGTAAGCAGGTATAAATATATAGCACATGAAAAGATGGGAGTTGCCTTACCAAGTGAGTAAGGCAACTCTCATCTTAGCAGTGACCCCCCACTTGGTAAGGCAACTCCCATCTTTTCATGTGCTGTATATTTATACCTGCTTACTGTATTTTCCATTCCATGAATCCGATGAAGTGGGTTATTGCCCACAAAAGCTCATGCCCAATTACATTTGTTAGTCTCTAAGGTGCCACAAGGACTCCTCGTTGTTTTTGCTGAGTTCAGTGATATCAGGAGCAGGCCCTCTGTACCTTTCACCTGAGATTCTCAAAGCATTTCACAAACATGAATTAAGCAAGCCTGAAAAACAACCATGTGAAGTTATTACTATTTGAGTCTTTTCAATTGGGAAAATGCAGAGACTTATGGCCTTTTCAAAATTAGGTTAAGTGCTGTTGACATATGTAAAAAGCATAATTTAAGCATGATTTGTTACAGTTGTGTATGCAGACTGGGTAACTGCAAATGATCCTTTGCGTCCCATTTGGCATGCATAATAGTAGTAATTATGTGTGTAAATTTAGAATTTTTACATGCTGAATTACACATACCTTAGTCTGAAAATCAGGCCCTAACACTGACGTACATCAAGTCAGTGAGAGAGCCTTAAATAAAATGTAGATTCTCTGACTCCCAAACCTGTGCTGTAAGCCACTAGACAGTGCTCTCTCCAGTAAACATGTTCCTTGACGTGAAAAGGAGAACTGCAGTAATATGGTCAGCATATTTTAAAAGTTATCTCTGTGGCAATTTAATGACTAAGTTAACTTTTCATCTGTGGCACATATATTTAAAACACTGGTAAATTGGGGACTGAGTTGACAGCTGCCCTGTGCACAGAATTTTAGTAGAAATTTTTTGAGAACTACAGCTGCAGATTCAGGCCCAGAAAACATAATTTTATGAAGCACCTTGCACTCTTGTGATCCCAAAGCATTGCGTAAAGCAATGAGTCATTTGTTGTTATGCTATCTGCTTAATTTAGACCTTGATTCAGGAAAACACTTACGCATTCACTTAACTTATAAATATGTACTTAAGTTCATGTTGACTTCAAACTTTAAAGGTAAACACATGCTTAAATGCCACCCTCAGTAGAGATGCTTTCCTGAATTGAGGCTTTAAGCCATGATCCTGCAACTGGTTTTGCATGTGTTTAACTTTACTACCAACTGTAGTCCCATTGATGTGAATGGTACTACTCATGTTAGTAACGTTAAGTATGTGCATAGTTGTTTGCAGAATTGGGGCCCTAAATTGTAATGGCCTGATCCTGTGAGATGCTGTTCCCATTGACAAAGAGATGGTCAGCACCGTGCAAATTGGACCTCTGGTCTCCCGTATGTCTATAAAGTTCCATACACGTTAGTGGTGCTACAAAAATAATACTGACAGTGCAGGATTTATAGACATGATCCAAAACCCATTTAAGTCAATGGACAGCAAGGGTAAAAACCCTTATGAATTCAGAAATATCATACACAGAACCTTAGATGCTGGAATCTGTTTAATTAAGAAATGGAATACTATCAATGTGATCATTCCTTATTCTTTTTGAAAGGATCCATGGAATATGTAATGTCTACTTAGACAGTCATCAGATCAGAGGAAAAAAGACCTCAGTTTCTTAATGTCTCCTCCGAAAGTAAATATGATGTTGTGATCCATACATATAATGAAATACCTCTCAATTTTGAGACAAAGTTGATGTGATGCTGCTTTAATTCTCTCCTGTGCATCGTTATGAGTCATGTTCTCTGTACCATAGCCATCAATAGCTAGAATGACATCACCAGGACTTAAATTGGCTGCTGAAGCCTTGCTTCCTGGCGTAATCTAAAAGATATAAGAAAAAAACTATTATTTTTTACTATTTTTTTTAAATTAAAGCACATCTGTGAATCTCTCTAAATAACAGTAATTGTAATTTTCACTTTTTGAATACTCTGTGTATTTTCCAATATTTTACTAGGTTTGAGACTAAAATGTAATGTAATCCAATCTTAAAAACAAAAATTACACCAGGAATATCTATGCTTTCTCGAAAACAAGCAAAAAAATTGAGAGTGCACACTTTGTCTCTAATTTTTCACTTCTCCTAATTAATTCTACCTGTTGTCTTTACAGCTAAGCTGTCACCTCTTAGTTTTGAAAAGAAAATAAGAAAATGTGGGTTTTTTTATACACATTTCCTAAAAAATCCAGCTCCATGAAGAAACTCTTTCAGGTTTTATCTATTTTTCTCTGCATCCCCTTTGTTTTTCCTTTATTTTTTGTATGTAGCTGTTAAATTTTTCTTTGCTTTTTACAATACTTTTTCTGTGTAAAATGGTTTAAATATTTCTTAAACTAATAAAATATAAATCCAGACAGAATATTTGCATATTTTCAAACTGGAAAGGCTGGCAACTATAATTATGACCTAAAAAGGACCACCCTCACTAATTCTGGATGTCATCCTTGCTTGTGAACATGAGATTTTACACACTTCTAAATTGACGATACATTTCTATACAGGCCCTCTAATTTACAAGAAAAATATTATGGTGACATTTAAAATCCAACCAGATAAGCCGTTTTACACCACACCAGCATTTAATCTCAACAGATTTGTTAATTCACAGTCTTTAAGGACTAGATTGTACCTTTTAGACATTGACCGTCATTGAGGTTGAAGCAGAGCTACCCTTCTATCCTTACCAAAAGATCATTCTCAACTGCTGGGTAAGAGAAAAAACAGCTTTTAATGGGAGAAGAGACTTAGGAGTTTGTTCCTCCTGTTGGCCCTAATCAGCCTGAGCGGCTAGTAAAAGTTTGGGTCCCTTGGGATGTTCCAGTTGGAAGTAGAAATTGATGGAGTCTGGTATTTTCTTTCATGCAATCTTTTTAATTTACAAGGAATGTATAAAATCCTGTCTCTCTCAATGCAGAAGGAACCAAGAACAAACGGAGCATTTCTCAGGTTACAGCCCCCAAGCCTCGTTAGCCAAAAATAGACCCAAAAGCGCTCTCTCTGGTTTTTTTCCAGGATCACATTGGGTACATCTACCCTGAAAACAGACACACAAACAACGATGACAGCGAGTCTCAGAGCCTGGATCAACTAACTCAGGCTCATGCTGCAAGGCTAAAAATAGCTCCGAAGATGTTCCTGCTCAGACTGGAGCCTGGGCTCTGATACCCTCCACCCTCACTGGGTTTCAGAGCCCAGGCTCTAGCCTGAGCAAGAATGTCGCACTCCTATTTTTAGCCCAGTAGTGCAAGCCCAAGTCAGTTGCCCCGGGTTCTGAGACTTGCTGCTGCAGTCTAGACATGCCTATTGTGTTTACAGATTCCTGATCAGCTTTCTTGCCCCTCCTCCTCTCTCCCTTGTTGTCTGGTTTCAGTTTCTGTGTATTTTCACATCCTTACACACACCTGGTCACAATACCCAGTTGAACCCTTCACCCACATAGTGCTAGTTTCTGGGCAGACTCTCTTAGGCTTTATTTTAGTTGTGGCCCCTTAATTGTCTTTTACACTATCTTAATGGAGGACTTATTCATACATCAGTTTGAATGAAATTTTAATTCAGCCCATAATAAGGTTTCACCTACAATAATACCTCCCACTCACCTCAGCTTTGCCTGTCACCCCAATGAGGCCTAAAATAATGACACCCAATAACCTAAACAGAAAGAAATAATTTAGTATATTACTACTGATACAAGCTTAACTATTTACATTTCTACAGTGTCTTTCTGTCAGGATAGTTTCACATCACCTTTCAGTCAGCCCCTGAGGAATGCCTATCATTTCTGCTGAACTTGTTGGCTGAAGCAGACCCTTTTATCTGAATGAGGAATCCATGTCTGTAACAACTTTTCTAGCCTCAACTTCCACAGCTACATTCTCAGATGGGGCAGGGTGGGGGGGGGGAGAAGGAGGGAAGTGGTCAGGCAGGCAAGCTGAAATTCTGTCCGTCAAACTGTAAGAACTAGCCTCTGTGTCCAATATGAAAGGGGATCTGAAACATGGATAGGCCAAGAGCGGGAACAGTCACAAAAGCCTTTTTCAGCATGCTGATCACTTTCCCTTTTTTTCTATTTGCTGCTTGTCAGAAATGTTCAGCAAACGAGCTGGGATCAGGTTTTATTTCAGGTCCACAAGAGTTTTAGCAGCTAAGATTATCCTGAGACCCTGGGTCTCAAAACAGATTTCAGCCACTCTCCATCTTTCCTTTGTTGGAAAGCTACCAAAGCATGTAGCTGTTATAATGCCCCGAGGGGCAGGACAATTTTTCCACTGCAAACCAATTACCTACAAATTATTTATCCCACCTGGGCCATATCTTTACAGAGAATTTCACAGACTGAATTTGTAAGACACCTTTCCTGACATGGATTACACAGTTATTAGCCAAGTACCAGAGGGGTAGCTGTGTTAATCTGTATCCACAGAAACAATGAGGAGTCCGGTGGCACCTTAAAGATTAACAGATTTATTTGGGCATAAACTTTTGTGGGCAAAAAACCCCACTTTTTCAGATGCATTGAGTGAAAATTACAGATACAGGCATACATATATTGGCACATGAAGAGAGGGGAGTTACCTTACAAGTGGAGAACCAGTGTTGACAAGGCCAATTCAGTCAGGGTGGATGTGGTCCACTCCCAATAACTGATGAGGAGGTGTCAATACCAAGAGAGGGAATATTGCTTTTGTAGTGAGCCAGCCACTCCCAGCCCCTATTCAAGCCCAAATTAATGGTGTCAAGTTTGCAAATGAATTGTAGCTCTGCAGTTTCTCTTTGAAGTCTATTTTTGAAGTTTTTTTTGTTGAAGAATGGCTACTTTTAAATCTGTTATTGACTGTCCAGGGAGATTGAAGTGTTCTTCTAGTGGCTTTTGTATGTTACCATTCCTGATGTCTGATTTGTGTCCATTTATCCTTTTACGAGAGACTGTCCAGTTTGGCCAATGTACAGGGCAGAGGGGCATTGCTGGCACATGATGGCATATATCACATTAGTAGATGTGCAGGTGAATGAGCCCCTGATGGTGTGGCTGATGTTGTTGGGTCCTCTGATGGTGTTTAGATATGGGGACAGAGTAGGCAATGGGATTTGTTACAGGGATTGGTTCCTGGGTTAATGTTTCTGTGGTGTTAGTAGCCATACGCCCATTACTGTTGTTTAACTGCCAAGATCTAAACAAAATCTGTGGGGTTGATCCTTGTATCTCCCCTAACCTTTGCTCCTTCAGGTTGGTGTTCCTTCATTTGCTGAACTGGGAAAGAGGCTTTCACTAGACACTTACAAGAGTCTCTCTTGGCTGTCTTACATTGATAACAATCCTTTCTGTGGCCAATTTTGTCACAGTACCAACATTTAACTGAACTGTTTCCTTTAATTTTTGCATTATTGACATTTTCCCTTGTTTTACACACCAAATTTATCAGTTTATCTTCTTATTCAATAAGATCCTGAACCAGATTAGAATCTCTTCTTTCATCATACATATGGAACCACAGAGGTGTATTTACAGGGCTCATGGTGATCAGGTTCCATCTTCTACACTAGCAGCTACATTCTCTTCTGGACATGGTTACAAGAAAAGATTCAAGCTCTGTGGAAAATTGGATTCCTTTTGCTGATTTTGATTGGCAAATCCAAGTCCAACTGAGTATTTATAAATTGGTCCATTGCTAGTTTAGCGTTGAGAGCCTTCATGGTATCTGGCGATGCTAGGAACATAAGTCTTTGCAGGTTCTCTGCCAGCTGAGGTGGGATTTCTTCTTTCCTTCTACTTCTAGCTCTAGCCTCTTAGCTTTACCTTGGCCAGATCAGATTGATGGCTAGCTCCAAACTGCGTGTCAAGGGCTTGTACCAGGTTTGGCTAACTCAGTCTCTTTTCCTGTGGGTAAGTTCTGTAGCACAATCAGAGCTGGGCCACCCAAGTTGGCTGATAGTAACCCCCATTTCTGTCCCTCCTCCCAGCCATTCATTTGAGCTGTAATGTTGAACTGAGCCAAATGAGCGTCCCAGCAGAGATGATCCATGCTTGCTGCTGGGGGGGGGGGGGGGGCAGCCAGCTTCAGCAGTGTTACTGAGCATACTCAGTCCAAGTGAGCATGTTCTGTATAAGCCAACCAGCCAATCTGGGGGGGTCACGTGACCCCGCATGTCCTTCCATGCATCACCTCTGCCAGGAAGTTTTTTCATTATTTGAGCTGGGACAAACTGACTTGTCCCCTCTGAGTCTCTGTGGGTTGCAAATGGGGCAGAAAATTGTTGTAAATATCTGGTATTACCCTAGTCCTCTGGCTGGCTCAGTTCCTCATCCAGACAGCTACCTTCCACTATGATCTGTGACCCTTTGATTTCTTTCTGGACCTGAATTTTCAACTCAAGTCCACGCTGCAACTCATCTCAGCAAGTTCCAAATTGGCCAAAGCCTGTTTGGTTTCCACTGCTTCATGGAAAAACTTTAATCAGATTGTTGTTCACCTCATCAGTCTGCTTTACCATTCTAGCCCGGGTGTGTTGCCACTGGGTTTCCCAGTCTGTCCAAGTGTTTTTTAGTTGCAGCTCCATACAACAAACTCATCTCAACCTGCAAGTTCTCTCTGAGCCCTTTCTGGGAAACCTCCTGCTCTTGTTTTAGATCTTGTTTTAGGTCTTGTCTTTAATTCCTTTTGCGAAGTCTCCAGCTCCTATTTGAGATCTTGTTTTAAATCCTGCTGGCCATTTTTTATTTCTGCAAGATCCTGCATTATTTGTTGCATTTTGGTTCAACAGGAATACCATTAGCTCACAGTCTCTCTACTTGGAAACTGGATCCCACTGCTCACTCCAG